GAATCACCCTAATGCGCGTGTTATGTTCATAAAATCAACCCTTTAACCTTAGAGAATGCATATTTTACGGCTTAACACCGATAAGGGTTAGTTTCGACAATAACCGACTAAGTTTAACTAAAACACGTAGTTAATGTTAAGAAGAAAGTAGAAATAAGTATGTTATTTTTTAATATGTTCATGTCATACAGGATGCACCAAGTAGGTATATGTGTATATTTAGGTATATACACTCAGAAAATGGTTGAATAAATATAACAAAAAAAGTAGTAAATATCCCTATTCGTCCAACAATTGCTTTTGTTACGGAAAAAGATCATTTTTATAAAAATTATAATTATTTATCTACAAACCCTGCTTTCAGTAATAGCATTTGTATTAATTATAAGTTATGTTTATAAAAATAACACTGTTCCAGATGCAGAAAGGCATTGATAAATATAATTATTATTATTTGTCCAAAAAAACCAGTTCTATAGCGTTTATAAAAACGTTTTGTAGTATTAATAAAACACTACCCAGATAGCACACATACGTCCACTGGATATCCTTAGGACGTCAACCCAGGACATAGTGGACGTCCTACGGATATCCGAAGACCACGAATGGACGTCCGTAGGACTTCCAAAGTAGACACTTTTGGTTGTCCTTTGGCCGTCCTATAATGGTCTATTAAAGACTGTCCTAGGACCAAATTTGGCCATAATTTGGCTGACAGGAATAAAAACTAAAACACCTAAAATTTTTAACCAAACATTTTTATTCACCTATATTATAATTACAGCACAAATGTCCAGAGGACGTCCAAAGGATATCCCCTGGACATCTCAGTGTCCAAATGACATCCATTGGACGTCCACTGCCGGTAAATTCGAAATTCAGACATTCCTTGCTTTGCGCTGACTTCAACTTGTCTGGTCCACCTACAATGTATTTTCCCTATGACATAGGCTATGTATAGCTTGCAAATGAAGGAACGGTATATGAGCTCATGAGCACCACATAAAAAAAATTCACGGTTAAATAGGAATAAAAGCTTTTTTAGATATTAAAAAAATAAAAGCTTTTCTAGATAACAATAAAAATGATAACCTCACTTTGTAGTTTGGTTGTTGTAATTTTGATGTAGGGCTTTGGGAGGATAAAATAAAATTTAGAAAGTATAGAAAGAAATCCCTTGGAAAGTAAAAACAATAAAAATGTGTTTTTATAAAATATTTTTTTTAAATCCTTGTTTTCACGATTTGTTTACGCCCAATTATCAGTGCAACCGTAAATTTTGTTTGTGTGGTACAGTCTATTAGTCAAAACAAACCTAATCTAATTACTTACTTGAATTTATTCTATTACAAGTCTATAAACAGCCAATACCTAGTAGAAATCATAACACACAATGTAGAAACACCGCCATAAACGCCATCACACAGCAAAAGAACGCCATTGCAACGGATTATGGGAAGCGTCTTCACGAACCCGTTCGGTTCTACCCGAAGAAGACCGATGTTTAAAATTTAAAACTATACGTTATAATAACGGTGTTTTTATACATTTAAACGTAATAGCGTTGAGTAAAGAAGTAGTGAACTTATTAATCAATGGTAATAGAATTTAATTGAATTTAAAAATGATGCAATAATGGATTTTACTACCTTTACGTGATAACAAGAAATTTTAAATTAAATATAAATGTATAAATCCCGACGAATAGTACGAATATGTATTATAAACTACCTATATTCAATAATAAACTTAATTTTTTTGTAAATTAATCTTTCTTATAATAAGGCTAATCGATTTGATTGACTCTCTGTGACACCCTCAGGCTGTCCCACGAACATCCAAAGAAGGCAAAAGAGAAACCTCATAAAAATAGGTGGTTTATATAATTTGTACATGATATTTAATATTACCCACAATTTATTACATATCCGAAATTTCTTGAACGAAAAGTTTAGGCATGATAGCCCATGGGTGCACCCACATAGTACAAGATGTCCAAAGGATGTCCAATGGACGTCATTTGGACATCCTGTGCTGTGTGAGCAGGAACGTCTAATCTAGGTAATTCTCGACTTAGCCAGGCCGAACGGGTCTGGGACATCCATAGAAAGTCAATTATAGACCTGGTCCGGCTAAGCCTTATTTGGCTTACTTTGGACGTCCAAAATACGCCTAATCAGGCTAAGCCGGACAGGGTCTAGACTTGACGTTCTATGGATGTCCCAGACCCGTTCGGTCTGGCTAAGCCGAGAATTACCTAAATAGGACGTCTGTGGGTTATCTTGTGCTATCTGGGTAATGGAATTATTCATAGAAATTTTATAAATTTTCGTTTAAAATAAAGCATTTTTTATAATATTAATAAAAGTTATTTAAATTTAACAACAAATTTATTGTTAATTCAATAAACTATTTTCATTGTAACAATGGTCACATTTTCAACCTACTGTTGGGTGTTGGGTAGTTTTTTTAAATAATTGGAAGGCATTAAAACAAATTATTTATTATAACAAAAAAAATTCCTCATATTATATGATGTACAAAATATGAACTCACTTCTTAAATAACAAGTCTGCTTCGTTTAAAGAATATACCTAAAATATTTTTTTTAGAAAACATCGAAATTTTAATTTTTTAGGGATCTTTTTGATATTTTTATCATGCTAGATTTTACCACACTTCAATATCACAAGTGAAATATTATAACACAGACTGTGGATTTTAAAGTTATGTTCAGCAAGGAGAGCGTTGGCCCTTTCCCCCTCTTTTTAAGGGAAATAACAAAAATTTTGTTACCATTGCAAAACAATAGTAAATATTAAAAAAAAAATTTTATAGCAATAAAATATTTTCGTTATTGTTCTTAACGTAAGCTAAGATTTTCTAAATAAAATAAAATTAATTTGAATTAAAACGATAGTAATTTAAAAAAGACAAATAGGCTATAGTAAAATGAACAAATTTTACTATAACAACTGCGCAATACTTTATGTAAGCGCAATTCACACACAACTATAGATTTAACAAAAACATTTTAAGTTCGACAAAGATTTAATATAAACATAAAGTATTTCTTATTGCCATGACAATATGATAACAACTATTACTTTGTTGGATGAACATTTTTTTTGTAGAAGCTCAACATTGCTGCTTCATTATAGTAAATGAGAATTTTATTAACAGTAAAAAAGTTTATTTTGTAAATAAAAATAATCTCATTACTTTGACAAACCGTAGGTTTTTGTCCCAATAAGACACTGACAATTTTATAAAAAAAGGTACCTTAGGTGGTACATTTTTTATAGCCATTACAATTTTAAATTTAAGTTAAATAATAATATTTATTATCAGTGCATGCACATTTTTCTGAGTGTGGGTATTTTTTTAATTTTTCAAATTATTCAAATAAAATTTATAAATTGAAAAAAAAGCCAGCGGGTCAAAGATAATTTAAAAAAAACTGAAAACCTCTCATAACCAAAAATTGTTATAACTTTGTTATTCTTGGGAATTTTAAAAAAGTAAGTTTTACTTGTAAACATATTATGTTTGAAACTTTCAAATTGAAAGGTTTTACATTTTTTTTTTTAATATATTGAAAACCGCTGGCTATTTTAATAGGTACGCTTGTAAATAGGCAAGTTTTTTCTAATTGTTTATTCGTAAGTAATATCATAAGGGCATCTACTTTTTCCGAAAAAAATCGAAAAAACACGTTGCTTAGTAATATTTTAACAAGAAGCATGAGTGCTGGTGGCAACAAAAATCCGAGTCGAAGACGAGGATTTTTGCACCTGCACGAATGCATTTTGTTAAAAAATATTACTTAGCATTGTGTTTTTTTGATTTTTTTCACAGGAAAAATTAGATAACCGAATGGTATTTGACAAGACTATTTCATGAGTAACAGTTAACAATTTAAATATAAATTGCAATTTTTGGTGACAACAGCTGTCAAGTTTTGCCGCGGGTAAACTCACAGGTGTTGTCATACACTTTTTCCACCTAGAAACCATTTGTAATTCAAAACTGCTCGTTTGTGATTGGTAGACATTAGAGGAGGGAAATAGTCACATTAATCTTAATTTTATCCAAGTTACTATATTTTGAGTCACCATCTTTTGTTTTTATAATGGCTGCCAAAATTTATGTAGTTTGATACATAGTGGGATTGCTTGATTTTTTTTCTATCTAACCATTTAAAATTTCAATATGGCAAAAAAATCACAAATTGGATAAAAATTTAGATAAATGGGTATGTTTCGATGTAAAAGTTACTTTTTTTTTAAATTCTCACGATTTTTGGTTATGACAGGTTTTCAGTTTTTTTAAATAATTTGAGAACCGCTGATTTTTAAATGCCATTTTAATAGACTAGTAATTACGCAACTATTCTTTAAGTCCCTAAAATGGCACACAATACCACATGATAGAGTTTAATAAAAATATAAAAAATTGTAGTTTTTAACTAATGTATACATATTGGTTTTAGGATTATTTTTTTTATGTTTTAAAATTATATTATAATTTATAATTATAAAACCAATATGTATACATTAGTTAAAAACTACAATTTTTTATATTTTTATTTACATATTATGTTTATATTTATACAGGGTGTACAAAAAATGCCGCAATTTAGGGTCATCCATAAATATCGTGACGTTGGAATGTTCCTCACTCCCGAGGGTTTTTAAACTTGGTGTATTTCTTAATTACTTTGGTTTTCTTAAAAAAAAATTAGTTAACCCCTTATAAATTATTATTTATACTTTATCATCCCTTTTAAAATACTGCAGTACGTAACGTTCCAAGTTTAGTGGGATAAAAGGTACATCAGCACCCAACTAGACAACTCGCTTGTCGCAGTAACAACTATTTACAATGCTGCTTAATGACGATGTTGCCGAACAAATAAAATCGTTTAAGAAAAAAATTGCCCAATGAAAAAGATTTACTTATCCGGTCTCCGGCTATCTAGATCATGTTTGTTTCAATTCAGTTTAGCAATTGATCTCAATCAGACGACATGATGACGCTGCTAAACCAAATTATGTTGTTCTTGACGCTGTACAGTCTTAGCGAGCGAATTGTGCAATCTACCAGGTGCGAGTACCTGAAAAATATCACTGTGACGGTTTTCCAGGAGAAAGGTGAGCCCTACAACCAGACCATTAACGGGTGCATCGAGGATATCGTATTTAGTGAGGAGAAGAATGTTGTGACGGCTCTGACCATATCCAGACAAAATATAACCCATCTGGAGAAATACTCAGTAAGGAATATGGCGTATATCGATGAGATTATTATAGCCAACTGCGTTTTGCAAGAAATTGAAGCGGGGGCATTCAGTAATCTGCCAAAGTTAAGGAAAATTTCCATTGGGTTTAGTGAAATAAAAGAGATTGGTATTGATGTCTTCAATGTGTTGGAGGAATTGCAAGAATTTAGAATACACAATACTGATTTGGACACCATTGATAAAGAAGGTTTCGCCAGTATGCCAAACTTAAGGAAATTCTACTGTGACATAAACAAGTTGGAGTACTACGATTCCGAATGGTTTACTAACAGTGAAAATTTGGAAATACTCGATTTTCAGTTCAATAAAATCAACTCTCTTCCCGAGAGGGCCTTCTTCGATTTGAAAAAGTTGCGCAAAATCAACTTTAACAACAACGAAATCTCCTACATCGAACCCAACGCTTTCGAAGGCGTAACAACTCTGGAATCTTTATTTCTAAACTACAACAGGCTCAAAATGATAAACCCGGACGTGTTCACAGAAAAATTCAAGTCAACCTACTTTTACATCAACGCCAACTACCTAAATTACCTCCCCAAAGAGCTCCTCGATAAACTCACCGTAAAATACATCTCCTTGGACAACAACCCTTGGAAGTGCCCATGCTTGGAATTTGTCAACCGTTGGTTAAACGTCTCCAACGGCACCGCGATTAAATCGGACAGCTGCATAGGCAGCAACCTGCCAGTTTGTTTGTATCCCAAGCAGTTCACGAAAGTTTGCAACGAAACCATTGATGAGGATGTGACGAAAGAGTATCTCAGCAATTTAAGGAATGCCACGAAGCACAAAACCGACTTGAACCCGTATTGCTTTCGGTTAGATTGATGTGGTTTTATATACCATGTGTGTATTTATTATTAATAAATTATTGTTTTTTGACTGTTTTAATTTCAATCCTTTTTAGACAAGCTTATAATCCTATTTGTGGTGAAAAATTTATTAAAATGTGAAATAAACTAAGAGTTAAAAGCGTTTAAAATACTAAAGGTAATTTATAATGTTTTTTGATGTAAAAGGCTTTAAAACTTTTGGGTCCCTATTTTAAGACCTATAACTTATTGTAATACATAGTTACGTTTTCCTCGAATGCTAATTATTTCTGTTTAAAAATCCAATTATTTAGTTTAAAAAAAAAAAAAATGCAGTTGGGTCATTTTCAAGAAACACCCGCTTTCAGGAAAATGAAGATCAAAATTTTTTTTGCTTAAAATGACTTTTGGTTGGATTTTTATAAATGTTTAGAGTTTTGTTTACTTACATTTAAGACAGGCAGTGCACTTTTTACCTTTTTTACGTCTTTTTCAGAAAAATGTGTTTGGCTAGCTTTATATGTCTCCACTGTTTTACCAATTTGAAATCCAAAATTTAATTCAATAAAAAAAGTTGTTATAAAAATAATTTGAAATAAAATGTACTTAGTTCACAAACTTTTTACTCCAATTTTATTTTTTATTAAAAATTGTATGCCTTTTTTAAATATTTATGTTTGTTAAGTTACTTTTTAAAAGACACCAGTCCGATTCTTTGTTAAAAAAAAACAATACCATTAATATTTCCTTTTGTCACTGTGAGTTAAACTCAAATTTATTAACAGGTATTACCAAGTGATAGTAAAATCATATTAAGGATTTTTTTTAACAAAAACTAAAAAAAGTAACGAAATAGACATTGGTATCACAACGGACTGGGGTACACAAAGGACTTAATCAGATAACGTAAAAAAGAAACTATATAGGGTGGTACGATTTTAGAGTAATGCATAAACAAAATCCCTTGTAGTGATGCTCACTTGCAGAATAACAACTTAGATTTCTAAATTATAGACACCCTTTTTCTTTGACTATAAGCTGGTGAAGGTCCCTTTTAGTACTTGTATATTGCGTGGAATTTTCCCTTGGATGTAATCTATATCATGAGTTGTAATCACAAATAATTTTAAATTGGTTTATCATAAACTACTTTTAATAAAAGCGACGGTAAATATCCACTTTGTTGTCGAAAAATTCTATTGCGTTACCCTAAATTCCATTGCGTTACCATAAGGTATGTAACATAAGGGACTCAGTAACCCAGTGGACAAAGTTTTGTGAAACCATATTTAAAAAATAATAATAAGACATTACAGTCATAAATTACTTTCAATGAGCTTTAGTGCCCTAAAATAAACATAAACATAAAAAATAGTATTTTTTCTTACCTTATTTTTATTATTTTTTTAAGTAACTTAGCGGACAAACAATTCACCTGTTTCAACCGATATCTTCTTCCTGATTGAATAAATAAATTCAGCTGGGTAATGTGTACGTCCGAACATCATTTGTTAATCACGTGAGTGCCAAAAAAGTTGCCATATATATGTTTTTTTAAATACTCTATCGGTAACGCGACGGACGTAACGCAACGAAAAAAATGTCTGGGACCTGAGTCAAATTTAAAAAAAGTAGATTAAAATTAATTAATTTATACATAAATTATTTACTTTATTAACTAAGGATGTTATGGATTGCTATAAAGCAACACAAAGTTCTGGTTTTTCAATATTAAAAAAAAACATGTATGTAAGTTTTATAAAACGCTAATGGGACATACGAAAATGTGTGTTTTACAAGTTTCAAAATAAAAAAAAAATTATTCTGAAATAACTAAACAAACATTTTCTGAAAGAGTTTACTAAGGGCTTGTTAGGCTTTCACTTGGTTTTTAAATCAATAAGATCCGATAATTTTTAACAAAGTTATTGGAATTCAAACTTACGAACAGCGGAAGGCGGGTGTTTTTTGAAAACGACCCAGTTAGAACTTGTTTGCATTTATTTTAAATGAATGTGAATGTACATATGTGAAATACTCACAAATCTGATAACTACATACAGGTATGTCGTTTTTGTTAAATAGAATATGGTAATATTCAAAGATAAGGAAATATTATCCTATTGTCAGGGCCGGATTAAACCATGTAGAGACCCCTAGGGAGCCCCTCTTTCATTAAGTAGATAGACAGCCCTGCATTATGGGGGGCTATAGCCACGGGCTCCCGAAACCTAAGTATTTAAAAGTCAGATTAACTACACGGAGAGAAAAGTGTAATGCTGATTACCATAATTATAATACCCTTTACTATAATTTATATTACTATTTGGGACATCTATCTTGTATATTGCCAGATACTATGCATATTTAGTAATTTTTAAATATCCATGTATGTTAAACCTTAAGGTAAAATATTATTATTCTCAACCAATTTTGTTTTTAATTCTTATTATAATTAGATTTTTTCCATTACTAATAAGTATAGTAAATTTTAAAATATTATGTTGCCATTTTAAATATAAAATATTTTAAAATCGAATATTATATTACAATTAAAAATTGTAACATATTTATTGTACTTTTTAATAAACAAAAACTTTATTAGAAAGAATTGAACCTACACCTCGCCAAAGTTTTTAGTTTTGAGTGCGTTTTGACCTATATTGGGTATCATCAGTGTCGACACGACACTGTCGAGCAATGGGTGGAACACACCCAAAACAAAGAAATACCTGAGCTTATATAACATGGTTGGTAAGTCAACAGAGGCGAGATGTAAGAACAGAAAGTTTATTAAAGAAACTAAGAAAATTGAATGTTTAAAATGTCATGAATTACTATATTGTATATTATATTTAAATATACTGTTTATTTACCTTAAACATAAAAGTATCTTTATTTTTACTATATTATTTATTAATTTGTAATATATTATAATATTAGATGTACACCTTATATTTCATTAAATCATATAGTAAATATTACTATTTGTAGATAGTAAAATCAATTTACTATACGAACATATTAAAAATTTAAATATATATTATACATTTATTATTATTTATCTAAAATTTACTGTACATTTCTCTCCGTGTATACATATAGGAACAGGTATTTTATCTAGGTCTAGTTAAAATAAAAAATGTCCCGAAATATAAATTATGTTTTGTAGGCGTCATGACGCGTCAGACAGTTACAGTTACTGTCTGCCGTACTTTGGCAAAACCTAGTAACTATGATTTTGTAACTTTTCAGGACAGCGTATTTTCTAAAATTGCATAGCCTTTCTTTGTAATAAAATATTTAAAATATGATGATCAATTCCTACATAATTTTTAACGAGGAAATTGAAAAAATTAAAAAAATTTCAAAGTAATAATAATTTGTTTACATGTTACTATATTTTGTTAATTTATTTATATAAGTAATTATGCAAAAGCTGGCCATATCAATTGCTAGTTACTGTATTTTTTTAAAAGTTTTTAATATGATTGAGTAAAACATAGTTAAAATAAATATTTATTTAGGTTTTTTACCATTTTATTTAGTGAAAATACAATTTTAAAAAATCCATATTATATTAAGTAAAATTGAACATTTAGATATTATGGTAAGTAAATACAGAATAATTTTTTTCTTTAATCTCTAAACAAAGAGTCTTTAACATTGTTCCTTTCTATTTAGTTTTTAATCCCAATGGTTCCAAATACGGTGCCACTGATAGCTTAACTTCAAATTTGTTCTTCTGGACATATTTAGAACTTTCTTAATAATAAAACACCAACAAGTTACACACACTATTCCGTAAAACTAGTCTGGTAAAGTCCGATTTATTAAAAACAGATTTTTATTTATTTATTATTTATAAGTATAAATTTCGTAAATCATAATTCAGCAAATAGTAGTATAAAAAGTTCTATGTTGATTAAAATATGCACAAATTAACTTATTAAAACATCAACATTCAAGTTATCAGATTTTAATCAATGCTGAAATAAACAAAACAAACATACATAAAGCTTAATATTAATTATTTAATAACTTTAAAATACTCCCGCCAACAGCAGCAGCTTTATTATTACCATTAGAAAATATTTTGCCCTAAACCTAGCAACTTGAGTTATTAGCTTTTACTGGATAAAATTTAAAAAAAAATGGAAAAATGGAACATTGTTGATAGTAACTTTGTTGTAATTATGTATCAAGTACGAGTGTCTAAAGAAGTTTATAAAACGAGTTGCATACTATACTTTATCTTCGACGAACACAAAGAAGAATTTAAAGCCAATTTTATTTGTTACAAATTTGAAATCTGCCAACTTTAAACGGATTTAACCTCACTTTTCCCTAATTTATATTAAGCTAACTTCAGCCCGTCACTAAAATGCACAAATGCCACAATTGCTAACTTCCGCCCGTGACTAAAACACCATAAAGTAACAGCTCGGCAGTGTAGGAGTAGATAAAATACCTTAGTGGATTTGCTAAACGTATTATAAATAATTTTGGTAAATTCAAAATTAGAAAAATACCCAACATAATAGGTTTTACCTATACATATACTTAAAGTATATTTGTTTGCATTTTAAAAATATTATTAATAATAAAAGTTTTTTAGGTTTTGTTAGTTTTTGAGCATATAGGTATGGTGTTATACGTTCAAACTACCAAAACATAAAAAATGCAAATTACTCCTATTTTTAAATTTTAAACAGAATAATAATAAGAAATATTGATTGTAATAAAATAAGCTATAAAAATGCATGGATTAAATAATATCAGTGTTTCTAAAAATATTGTTAATATTTATTTTTACTTCATGAAAAATAGGTACTTATTTATAAAGGTACCAATTTTGGGAAAATAAAAATAAATAAAATTACAATCAATTATTGTTTTCGATAACTTGTCACTACCAATATTTATTATTTATAAAAATTTTAAACAAATGTTTTAAGTGTTATAACAAAAAAGAAAAATGCCGATGATCAGTGTTTTTAAGTTCACAAGCTTATCTATATAAAAAGTGAACAACACAGCGTTTAAAAGTTAACAAAACATGACAATTGCTAAAA